GAGTGTGATAACATATAAGTCAAAATGATATGTTCTGGGGAAATAGTCCGGAAATGACCCATGGAATTGCTTGTCACTGGTAAGTTTCCTGTTAGAAGAACAAAACATGCCTAGTTAGAAAAGTGCAACAGACAAATGTGATTATGCAAGACATGAGAAGAACATATCTTCCAATGCATCTCAAACAGTTAACTCTTCAACCTTACCTTTGATTAGAACAGGACACCTATGTTTCTTTTCTTGAATTTTTCCAGATAATCATCAAATGGGTAACTATCCAAATCGAGAAACCTCATTACCGTCAACTACATCATTTCAATCAACTACCTTTTGTGAGGTAATCAAAAACTAGAGTTTAACCTGAGCTACAAATTAGAATAAAAAAGTACTGTTGAACATCTATCACATAGTGGTATAAACTTTTCATGAAAAAGTTTAAGTCCTACATGATGAAATAGGACAGAGTGTTACAATGCTATGTACCAGACAGCCCCCCCAGTAGGTCTAAATATCTGAGAGAGAGACTATGCAATGGCATTTTACATAATGGAAATTGATCAAGATATGAAAAAATGAAAGATGTTGGTGTTGAACCTGAAGGTGATAAAGCAAATCTCTCCTTATATATAATTGAGTAGTGATCCCACAACGTTCTATGCACTCCAAAATCAATTGGCTCCGTGATGTGTCAATCACAAGGTGTCTCTATCCACTGGCTGTGTTGCTTGAGTTCTCTCCCACCCACTGCAGCCTAGGCCACTCTTCTCTGATTGGGCCAGCGTTTCAAGGTCATTTGCATATGGAAGCTGACTGGACTTCACTCCATTCCGCACCTCAAACTCCCCCCCCCCGAGACAGTTGGAACTGTCAGTTGCATATGGGACCTGCTGTATTCTGAGGTAAAATATGTCCTCACTCACAACACATCACATCCCCTTTAAAAGAAACAAACCCAATAACCCAATCATGCCACACCACAAAAAAGAAAGATCACACCACAAGCAGAATACCACAAGGCAAAAAATGATAGGAAAAGGTGCCAGCAGTCACCTCATTACTGCCACAGATATGTGGCAGTCAGGGCTTCAGAGCATGGTGGGGGCTGCTGGTGGGGGGGAAATGGAAAGCTGATCAATGAGGGGGGAATGTAGGTTGATGCTTGGCTGGGAAGTAGATAGGGTTGCCAACTCCAGATGGGAAAATCCTGGAGATCAGAGAGATGGAGCCTGGAGAGGGTGAGGTTTCAGGAGGAGTGGGGCCTCAGACAGGTACAATGCAATAGACTCTGCCCTCCAAACCAGCCATTCCGTAATGGGGAACCACTGTTGCCAATCTCCAGGTGGGGGCTGGAGATCACTCAGAATTGATCCGTTCCCCTGGAGAAAATGGTGGACTCTGTGTCCGTATACCTTGCTGAGGTTGCCATGGCAAATTGATTCTGAGTGTCCATGACGTTGGCACTCTCCCAGAGCCTCTTTTTAGCACTCATTGTATTTATTTCCACAATAGGCCTTATTCTTAGTAATAAAATAAAAGCATTTCACAAAATGTGAAAGAAACCATCAGGAATTAATGGATGTCATAGATCATTAGACTCTTTGATATTTTTACTGAACCATTTACATGTACTGTTCAAAATCTATTACTTTATGCCCTGACTGTGACAAGAGTTTGAAATATACTTCATGATGAAAACATTTCAACATAAAACTTAATAGTTTATGGAGTTATAAGATGTACTAAAGTCACAGCATACCAGTTATTACAATCCAAGCTACAAGATGTAACTGACATCTAATTATTTGTTAACTTGGAGTCAAAATATCTGAAATGAACCATATTTCATAAGTATTTTTGTAACTTATTTTAGAGTAGTTGTGTTTTTATGCACACTTTACATATTTCTTCACAGAAGTATTTGGCTCAGGGGTCATTTTGTAGAAAAAGATCTCTCTCTCTCTCTCTCTCTGCTCAGTTGCTTCCTGTAGCTGTTTCCTCACAAACACTCTCCCCTGTGTCCCTGAGTTATTCCTAGGGATGCCAAGCCTCCTGGTTCTTTGCCCAGGAGATGGAGGGGGGCAAGAGAGCATGAGGTGGTATTGCCCCTACATATTTACTTCATTTCTGGGGGAAATGAGCAATTGTTCCTATTCCTTGGAGAGGAGGGAGAGCTTGTACCTGAATAAAACTTGGTCTTAAAGGTGCCACTGGACTGGTTTGGACCAGGGGGTTGGGGGAAGCTCTGAAACTTACCTGGCTGCTTCTTGCTCTGACTGAGGGCTGCTGGGAGCAGGGGGTGGGGCTTGTTGCATGTGCCCACCCCTTGGGCTCTTTACTGCCGGAGCTCCGCTCTTGTGCGCTCCTGCAGGAAATGACCCCTGTATTTACTTCATTTCTGGGGGAAATGAGCAATTGTTCCTATCCTGTATTGAATGGTGAGAAAACAAACCAAATCAAACTCCTCCCACTTCCATTCTTTAATTGTAAGCTCAGCTGTATCACCAATTGTCGAACAGTGGCCTGTACATGATGCTCTGGCAGTTGAACCAGCGGAAGAGCTTACAAGGTACACCACCATTTTATGTGAGCATTTCCTCATTAAGGGGTGCCAGCCTCCAGGTGGGGCCTGGAGATCTCCCAGAATTACAATTGATCTTCAGGCAACATCAGTTCTCCTCTGGAGAAAATGGCACCTTTGGAAGGTGGGCACAACAGCATTATACCCCACTGAGTTCCCTCCTCTCCCCAAACCCCACCCGTCCTAGGCTCCACTCCCCAAATCCCCAGGAACTTGCCAACCTGGAGTTCTATTATCAATATCATTTGTCATTTTTAACCCTTTTAATTTGAAAAGCACTGAATGATCTTTCACTTGTGACCCTGGTCCATGTAGGGGTACACACAGGACTTTCTGGTAGCTTCCTCATCAATGGTAATGGTGGCTTTATGGGTGGGGGTGCAGGGGGATGCCCAGTGCAGGCACTGTGATGCTGTTCAGGTGCAACCTGCTGTAACCATTTGTGCAGGCACAAAATTCACATTGGATTGCACTGCCTTAATGAATGCTGCTGTTTAGTAGCATCCGAGAAGTGCCCACCCCACCCTTCCAGCTGCTTAGCTGCTGTTCAGCATTAGTAAACCACAAACATTTATATGTGTCTCAATGATATTTAGTAAGATATTCAGTTTGTGTTCTGCAAGGACTGATTTGTTGCTAATTGTCTGTGAATCCCAACCCATGAAAAGCTGGTGAAGGGAGAACTCCAATAACAATGAGAGTCGGTGTAGTGTTGTGGTTAGAGTATCAGACTAGGATCTACAAGGCCCTATTTCAAATCCCCTCTCTGCCATGGAAGCTTGCTGGGTGACTGGCCCAGTCACACATTCTCAGCCGAACCTATCTCACAGGGTTGTTGTGAGGATGAAATGGAGGAGAGGCATACAATGTAAGCTGCTGTGGGTCCCTATAATGGCACCAAATTTGCACAGAACATAGTATTCCCTCTTATCTAAAGAACTCCCAACTTTCAAACAATCTGGACGAAGGTACCTAACTTTAGAGACCCCCAAAGTAGGTGGCTCTCAGTGCAGCTGCACTCAGAGTATAAATGAAGTTTTTAAAAGTTTCTGATTTACATTGCTGGCTTCCTTTGAAAACACAACTCCATTCAGCTGGAGGTTATTTAAGCATGAATGCAAAAATGACATCCTTTGCTCTTCACTGATTCTTATGGGGGGGGGGGATGGCACAGGCCATCAATATTAAAAAAAACACACACCTGTCTGCATTCATTTTATTTTCCTGCTCTTATAATGACTGACTCACAATAAAAATGCGCACAGAACATAGTATTCCCTCCTATCTAAAGAACTCCCAACTTTCAAGCAATCTGGACCAAGGTACCTGACTTTAGAGACCCCCAAAGTAGGTGGCTCTCAGTGCAGCTGCACTGCTCTTCACTGATTCTTATGGGGGGGGGGAATGGCACAGGCCATCAATATTTTTTAAAAAAACACCTGTCTGCATTCATTTTATTTTCCTCTTATAGTGACTGACTCACAATAAAAATGTTTTACTTTTATGTTGAAAACTCTGTGTTTGCAGCAGGAAGGAAATGCAGAGAGGCCCTGGGGGCGAGGCTAAGGAGAAGACTAGAGGGGTGGAGGGGAGGGGGGAGCTGCAGTTTCCCCCCCACCCACCTCTGCGCAGGACTGCTCCAGAGCCATCTGGCACCTCTCCGACCTCTTGCTGGAGTGGTGCAATGAAGAGGCCACGTGTGGTCCTCTTCCTGGTTAAGAAGGATGCTTCTGGTGTGGCCCCAGCAGAGGTGCCTGCAGGTGCTGGCACTGGGCAGGGGTCTGCTGCCCAGGCAGTCCCTCCTCAAGCCGTTGCTGCTGAGGCTCAGCAGCAGGAGGAGGGGCAGCAAGAGCTGTCTTTGGGGTTGAGCTTTGGGGACAGTTCTCTGTCTCCAGAGGTCACTCCACAGACTAAGAGAAGAGAAGAAGAAGAAGATATTGGATTTATACCCTGCACTTTACTCGGAGTCTCCGAGTGGCTTACAAACTCCTTTCCCTTCCCCTCCCCACAACAGAAACCCCGTGAGGTAGGTGGGGCTGAGAGAGCCCTTTCAAAGACTTCCCTTTCAAGGACAGCTCTTGTCAGAACTATGGCTTGCCCAAGGTCATCCAGCAGCTGCGAGTGGAGGAGTAGGGAATCAAACCCGATTCTCCCAGATTAGAGTCCACACACTTAACCACTACACCAAACTGGCTAAGAGGGCTGTAGAGGCACTGGAGGAGGAGCTGGCTGGCCAGCCCACTGCTTCAGTTTCTCTAGGCTCTAGAGGAACAGGAGAAGAGGCTGGGTGAGGTTGAAGAGGAAGAGATGTAGGTGCACCCCACGGACCTGCCATCTCAACCCCTTCCCCCTGCTCAGCCATCTCTTCCTGCCCCCCCCCCCCAAGACACGGTGTGTCTGACCCAAGCAAGCACGTATCAGCTAACTCAATCTCTCCCCTTGGTGCTCCTGAAATATTGAAGCTTAAAGACCACATGGGAGAAATTATTTATTTATGTTTAAGTGTTATATCTTGTATTTTTAAAAAATGATGGCTTATATTAATGTTAACACACAAAATAAAATAGAGACAGACAGCAAAATATGTGCTTTTTTTAAAAAAACCCCACAATATTACCAAGATAACACAACTGTCCAAGGGAAAGATTTAAAGAGTGAAAAACCTGTGACCTCTAAATAAACTCTAAACAAGTGTAGAGATTTGACCTTTTTGAGAAATAAAAAAGATTTTCCTACCCAAGCTTTTAAAAAGTTGCTTGTGAGAACAAATGATGTATTTGTGAATCTTCTGCCAAAATATTTGAGTTGTTTAGTCATCTTCCGAAAAACAAATAAACTCCGGAGTTGGTGCCAAAAGAATAAATGTGACTGAGGGACTGGTAATGAAATATGTGAAAAGATTTGCTATGTAAATACTTTATTTTATTTTCAAAAATGCATACATGGGATGGACAAACCAATAGGAAATTGATCCGAAATATCTGCAAAGAGATTACAGGCAGAAACAGATTCTACACAAGATCATTTCTGCTATTTATCATGAATGCATTAGTATTACTTTTGAAGAAAATAACTTGCCAGTCTTTATTGTGCTGGCCTTCATTCCCTGTGTTCACTATTACTTCCACTTTGCAGCTAGAGAACAGTGACCAAATCAGCGTCACTTCCCCCAAGCCAATGACTTGCCCAGCAAATCAGTTTCCCTCTCTTGGGAGCTAGAGTGATGTAGTGGTTAAGAACAGCAGACTCTAATCTGGAGTGCTAGGTTCAATTCCTCACTCCTCCATAGCAGTAGAAAAGAGCAAGAGTCCAGCAGCACCTTAAAGACTAACAAAATTTGTGGCAGGGTATGAGCTTTCAGGAGTCACTGCTCACTTCTTCACTGAGCAGTGACTCACAAAAGCTCGTATCCTGCCACACATTTTGTTAGTCTTTTAGGTGCTACTGGACTCTTGCTCTTTTCTACTGTTATAGATAGACTAACCTGGCTACCCATCTTGACCCACTTCTCCCTACGAAGCCTGCTGGGTGACCTTGGGCCAGTCACAATTTTCTCAGAACTCTCTCAGCCTCATCTACCACACAAGGTGCCTGTTGTGGGGAGAGGAAGGAAAGGTGAATGTAAGCCACTGAGACTCCTTAGGGTAGAGAAAAGCAGGGTATAAAAATAAACTCTTCTTCTTGTTTTGTTATCTACTTGGAGTAACCTCTAGGGCTTTATCAACTACATCTCCATTGTAATGATTCATATAACGGCATCATGTTTGCTTTGAGAGAATGGCTTTTTTCATTGGCACTCAAAGGAGATCTCTGCAAGTGAGTGTGGCACTATCTTCCAAGGTGGTGTGTTCCTGAGGCAGCCATCTGTATATAGTTACACAGTTTATTTGAAGGCATCTATTTCTGTCCCGTTTCAAGGAAGATTCCATGACTGGAATCCTCTGAGTCCAAACGGCTGCCCTATGAATAGCTTGACTTCCCTTTTTCATTCAAAACAGGTGCAAAGGGATGAAGAAAACAAACTGAAAGAAGGGAAGCAAAAGCAGAAAAAGAAGAAAGCGAACATTTCTGTGGTATGAGGGTGTTTCTCTGTGTATAAAGGACAGCAGGAGTGGAAACAGTTTGAGAAGGGACAAAGGTTGCCTTTATCTGATAAAAGAGTTTAATGCATTCCCGCCTTTCCCAGAACTGACACCTAACTATGCGTCATAAATATACAAGGCTTTCAGACTGTTTCCATTCAGGTAAACAAACACCAGACCTGAACATCTCTTGATTTTCAGGGCTGATGGTCCCTCGTGTTTGTTTTAGACAAAGATCCCTTTGAATGGTCCTTGCATGCTGACTTAGGAAGAATTTGAAGATAGGGTCCTGTGGACCTGCTCAACCAATGGTCACTCCTTTCCTGCACCCTCTTGTAATGACTGGGTGGAAGAAGGGAATCATCCAGTTCTCCCTGCCTGCACAGTTCTTTTTAAATTTATTTTGTTTATTTATTTAAAACATTTTTCAGTCCAATTTAGGATTCCCCAAGGCAGGGAACAACCAAAAACATTAAAACTTTTAAAATACATATAAACAATTAAAACAAGCCATAAATGGGAAGGAGGGTCAGTGAGGGAACGCCAAACAAAACAGAGAAGCCTGCTAGCAGAAGACAATGATCTGTATTCTTATGCTCCAGTGCTTGCCAGAGCAGCGCTGGAAGATGATACAGAGGGAGCATAGATCTGCATATGTGTTGACACTGTGTGCTCACATTTATCCTTCTTGTTTGTTTTAAGGACGTACGTTCAGGTACCCTAAGGTTGGTAAGGAAGCAGGCAGGAAGGAGCTGGAGGCAGCCTAAGTTTGTGGGGCTTTGCCCCATTTACCCTACTGGACCAGTCTGCAATGATCACAAATTATCTCTATAGCACTGGGTGCGATCAGATGAGCACTTTAATCCATCATCTTTGCTCCTCCTGAATGGATTTGAAGTGCTTGATCAGACAACAACGGACTCCCGTCCTGCAGTCAGCCTCCTGTGCTCACCCCCGACACCACAGAAAATCTGGTCTTTATAGATCCTACCGGTTTCACAGCACTTCTGCAGGTGTCTGATCGTTGTCTTGCAGGGTGAAGTCTTTTGGGAAGTCAGATCACACTTCCTGTTTTGCCACCATCCCCCCCCCCAAGTTACCAACGTGCACATAAGCAGCTATGCATGGCAAAGCTGTACTTGTGCATTTCATAGCCCTTCCCCCACCCACTCCATTCACCCCTCTCTCCCCCAGCTGAATCAGAGAGAGCCCCCTCCTTCCTCTAGAGCCGCCACCTCACCCATTCCTTCCCTGAACTAAGGCTGCTGTGTGTATGAGGCAGTCAGCCAGGTATGCACAAATGCATATTCACACTTCTCTATCTGTCCCTGTCTCTCTCACACACAGGAACTTCTAGAAATTCTCTCCTCTGGCTTTGAAACATTTGAAATGTTGAATTTATCAAAAGCAGTTTCCAAAACACTTCTCCCACACTGAACTACATATCCCAGCAGCCTCCTCCAGCAATCCCATTGGCCACCAGGTGCTGCCATTCTGCCGGGATTTTGAAACGCTGCTTTCCATAAGTGCTTCTGCGCATGCTCAAAAATGATTAAAAAATGCCTGCCACCCCACTCCGTGGTTGCTGCATCTGATCAATCAACCACGGGGTGAAAGCGCTTTCAAGAGGGTTAAGGGGAGATGTCTGATCAAAACTCTCAGTTACAAAAAACCTGGATCGACTAGAAGCGGGGCCACACAGGATCAGACTGCACGTCTGATCACAACCACTAACCTGAGCATCTTTCCATCTATTGACATAGTTCTAAAGCTGCTATTTAAACCAAGGGAGATAATATAATGTATAAATCACTTGAGTAACTTATTTTGATGTTATAAGAAGGAACAGACAGGATAATATAACTCTACAAATAATGTTATGAATATGCATCCTTTCTGGCATATCCTGATTTCAGTAGTTTTGCATTTGCTTTCTTTACAGCAAAGAGAAAATCACTCTGGCTTAAAAGACAGGTTTTTTGACACAATGCAGAATACGTCACATCAACGAGAACCAGATTCCCTGGTATATCTTGATACCTCTGCTCAAAGAACAAAATCACCTCCTATCCAGCTGATTGCACAGAAACCTGATACCTTAGAACCATGTCAAGATGAAAGCCTACTAAAGATGGTAGGTACATTAAATAATAGAATGATAAACCAAATCTATATTAGAAAATAAAGATGTGGCTTTAATAAAAAGAACTTCAGGTGTTTTTTATTCGGAGACTGCCGTCTGTGAAATAAAATGATCAGGTACCAAAATCAAGTGAAATATTCCAAGTTACAATACTTTAGGGAGTTCTTGGTCAACTTGGTAATCATAATTAGTGTTCAGTTGGAGTCTGACCCAGCCAAAATGAAGGGCTTTTAAATCATATACTTTTCTTCATAATCAGTGGCATGTATAGAGCAATCCACAGACCATGTAAAGTGGGACTTTCCCACTTCCCCTTCTACAGAGCACCTCCACCCCATTTTGTTTCTGTGGACAACATATAGGGGCAAAATGAATTTCTGCTGTGGGAGAAGGAATCAGCAAAAATTGCTAGCCCCTCTCTCAAAGACTGCAGTGCCCTTAAGTCTTCAGAACTGAGCCACAGAGAAAGTCCAAATTAGAAAACAGAATTCATATATTTTTGTCTATATATACACTCCGAGCCATTGTTATAGGATGGCTTTTGTGGTGAAATGACACTTCACTCAGAGGTATCTGTGTAAAAAATTACTACTTTGGATAGTAAATTTTAATTTGCACTCTGTGAACACTCATAGGTTATGCTAAAACTACCTTTCTAGGCAGACAAAAGTTTGCTGATCAAAACTTTCTATCTAGTCTTCAGTCTGCCAGTCTCAGATGCCAATTCATATGTTAATAAGCAGCGGAAAAAAGTCCGTTTCCCATACTACTTCAGTTATAGGAGCTCTCACATGCTAACACAAAATCCTATTTATTCAACTGCCTAGTAACCCTTCCTGGCCACACCCACTGCCAGGGAATTCCCACCCACTAGATCAGCATTGGTCTCCAATTTATAGCAAAATGTTATAAAGATTAAGGCCTATATCAGTCCTGCAAATCAGAAATTGTAGAGTAATGATATATGAATTCACTGGTATTGTAAGCCTGAAATTGTAACAACAGTATTCTAAACATCTGATGGAACAGTACTCCAGAGTAGTGTTGCCAACCACCAGGTGGGGACTGGAGTTCTCCCAGGATTACAACTGACCTCCAGACTATAGAGACCAATTCCCCTGAAGAAAATGGCAACTTCAGAGGGTGGACTCTATGGCATCCCATCCCAACCAAGCTCCTTCCCCTAAACGCTACCCTCCCAGGCTCTACCACCAAATCTCCAGGAATTTCCCAACTCAGAGTTGGCAACCTTATGTCCAGATACATTGTATAGCGATAGGAGATACTGAAGATTTAATATTCCTGTGAACCTATGACACACAGTCAGTTTATTTTGCAAACGTTTGAGTTTCAGCTTAAGAAACTGCAACAGCAGGCTGGAGAGATGAAGCTACAATGAGCTGTTTTTACTAACAGAGACAGCAGGGAGTTCCGATGGATACTTTTGATGTCAGAAGATAACTGTTTTTTGGTGAGACAGAATTATCTCACTTAAATAATATTTTCCCCACAGTACTTTCTCAAAACCCAAAAAAAAGAGAGAGAGAAAGAGAGGGATTCCTGGCAGTCCAGTAAAAAAAAGCCCTGGTGGGCAGCATGTTTTAATAGGGTTGCCTGCTCTGTGTTGGGAAATATCTGGAGATTTTTGGGGTGGAGCCTGAGGAGGGTGGGATTTGGATTTTGGTGGAGAGGGACTTCAATGGGGCATAATGCCATAGAGTTCACCTTCCAAAGCAGCCATTTTCTCAAGGTGAACTGTACTGTAATACCTAGACATCTCTAGCTACCACCTGGAGGTTGGCAACCTTGTGTTTTAAGATGTAGTACTCCAGTCTGAGACTCCTTCCCCAGTCAATCAAATAAAAAAGAGGGGTCAACTTGCATTTACATACAAAAAGTTATGTCTAGTAAAAAAAAAAACTGTTTTGGTATATAACATTTTGGAGGGGGGGGTCATCTTATATTCAGAACTGCATTCCTTTTGAGTAAATGGTAAATGGTAGATGGTACTTCACGCACGAAGCATAAGTGATTTGCAAAATTCATTGCTGCAGGATGTCAGCAATCAGAAAGACATTTTAAACGGTTTAAGTGAACACAAGGAAGATAGATCTGGTAGCAGTAACACTGGCAACCAAACAAGTAACCGTCATTTTGCAGAGGCTATATTTTTTAATTTATTTATCAAATTTATATCCCACTCCCAACTTGGGGCAGCTAACAGCATATAAAACAAAACAGAGTCCCAAACCCCAGCTGGAAGCTGGATTGGAGGGAACCTAGGGCAGATGTTTCACCCAGGAATTTCTGGAGCTGTTCAGCCACTGCTCGCTCAATCACCTTTCCCAGAAATGGAAGATTAGATACTAGGCAGTAATTGCCTAGGTCCTTCTAATCTAACGATGGCTTTTTCAGGAGGGGTGTCACCACTGCCTCCTTGAGGGAGCTAAGGAAAGAGAGTCAGATTTATGATGTCTCCCCAAGGCTCCTCCTACCACTTCTCTGGAGGTTTTCACCAATTGAGCTGAACAGGATGCAGCCGATGCAATGGAGGCAGAGAAGTAATAGCACTTTGCTGCCTTCACAGCCACTTCATAGGCCTTCAAGCGGGCTCCCTAAAGTGCTCTCATTGCTTCATCATGAGTTCATCGCCAGCACCACTCTAGCCATCTAAGCCCCCTTTTTACTATCCTTAGTTCATCCATATACTAGGGACCCAAGGTAGGACGGGGGCAAAGAGGGCGCTGGGGCAACTAAGTCAATCGCCCAGATTCCAGGCATCAGTGAGTTCATCAAGAGAGCTTCCGGCAGAGCAAGACAAATCCCACAAAGCCAATTGGATCCATGAGTTTCCACAGGTGAATGTAAATAAGCTTGCCACCCCTGTAGAGGGAGGAGGCAGATCTTAATCTTCATAAGGTAATGATCAGTCCATGGCACCAGTTCATAAAGAACCGCCGAATTCAGATCAATTCCTACACAAAAGATCAGATTCCGTGTGTGGCCTGGTCTGTACATGGGGGCCAATACAACCAGGGAGAGTCTTAATGATGCCATGGGCATCATAAAGTCTAAGGAGGCACCAGACAAGGCAGTGTCAGTGTGGACACTGAAGTCCCCCAAAACTATCACCATCTCAGCCAGCCTTAGCAGGGAGTCAGCTAGTAAGCTAGGTGGACGGTAAACCAGCAAGACTTCCATTCTCTCCCTAGTACCCCACACCAGGCCTACACATTCGATGCCGGTGATGTTTGGTGCTGGAAGCCATTTGAAGAAGAAAGAATCTCAGATGAGAATTGCCATCCCACCCTGTCTTCCTGTTTGTGGTTGATGAAGGACTGAGTATCCTGGGAGAGTCAGCTGAGCGAGAGCCACCCCTTCATCCTTGTCCGCTCAGATCTCAGTCAAGTATGCCAGATCAAAATTGCCCTTCTTAATAATTTTTTTCGGGGAGGCAGTCTTATTCATAATCAATCTGATATTGCAGAACATCAGGCTACAGATATTGGACAAGCTGGGAATCAACTACAGACTGTGGATTTCATCACTGTTATGCCTGTTTCTGAACCTCTTGAGTGATTTATTGCTCCTCCCCACTAAAAGGGAAACTCACAAGTTTCTTCTAAGCATGTTAATTTTCCTAATATTTCGGAAAGCATTTGTTGTTGTTACTGGCTAGTCAGCAACAGAAAGTCACACAAATTCTGAAATTATCTGGGATTGGGGGGCTTCTTGCAGGAATCTGAGACGTCAGAAATTCAATTGATGACAACCCATGGAAGAAGCTTCACAGCTGCAGCCCATAAACTATGGAATGTCATTCCCCAGGCAGGGGATGAGGTTGGTGCAATCATTAAAAGCCTTCCATCACCATCAGAAAACATACTTATTTCAGAAGTCTTTTAAATGTGTTATGCCTGGCTTTTTATGCAGTATTTTTAACTAGTGTTATTTGTTCTACCTAACAAAGAGTGTCTGCTCCATTGGTGACCAAAAGTTACCTTCAAGTCATAGCTGATTTATGGCAACCTTGTATGGTTTTCAAGAAAAGAGACAAACAAAAGCCTCATACTCATTTTCCTGGGCTAATGATTGCTTACCATATTTAGGTATTAATCTACCAACAAAATTCAGTCATACTAAGGTAGAGAAAGAAATACAAACTGACCTATCACATTGGCACAAGATGAATTTGGCATGGTTAGACAGGCTAAACATAATCAAGTCCTTTGTACTACCTAAATTTATTTTTTCTCTTCAGGACCATACCGATAGCAGTCACCCCAACGCAAGTTGCTACAGTTTTTCTGGGCTTATAAACATCACAGAATCAAATGTAACACCTTATATAGAAGCTCAGACAAAGGGGGGATAGGTTTCCTGAACCTACAATATTACTACAGAGCTATCAACCTAGCACACACAATTAAATTGCTACAATCAAAACCCACCTCTGACCAGGTACAATTAGCAAATTTTTATTCCGTACCTTTCGAGATTCAGGAATGCATATGGCAAACGCCATCATGCAGACCAAAGCTGATTAGAACTAGCCTAATACTTTCCACACTGTTGAATACATGGGATCACTTACCATCAAAATTATTACCACCGATTTTGAGACATCAACCATTCATAAATCAATTTTGGTTTCTCCCTGGCCTTAATAATCCGGAATTTGACAATTGGAAGGCCGCTAAAGTCAGCACGCTCCAAGATCTTTCACTGAAGCAGATGCTTTTACCCAAAGCTGCACTAGAAGCTGAAATAAAACAAAAAAATCCCCTGGTTACAATACTTCCAAATATCCAACATGTGTTCTCACATCAAACTTAATTCAATACTAAAACAACCCCTTACGGCGTTAGAATCAATTAATTAGGGCTCTTTTTGTAGCAGGAACTCCTTTGCATATTAGGCCACACACCCCTGATGTAGCCAATCCTCCAAGAGCTTACATTGGCCCCTGTAAGAAGAGCTCTGTAAGCTCTTGGAGGATTGGCTTTATTAGGGGTGTGTCGCCTAATATGCAAAGGAGTTCCTGCTACAAAAAGAGCCCAAAAGGGTCTGATCTCCAAAATTCACAAAATATTGGCCTCACTGGACAGCAATACTCTACTATCCTACCAAATTTTATGGCATAAAGAATGCAACATTAACATATCAGATGCCTCTTGGAACAAAGTATGGTCCTATCTGCCATTTCGTTCTAAAATCTCCTCAATGAAGCTTCAATCTTTCAAAATATTAGCACACTGGTACCTCACACCACAAAAACTGTCTCACATAACCCACTCATATGATCCAAGATGCTGAGGGAAATGTGGGGATCTGGGCACCTTATTTACATTGTTGGGTAGCTTGCCCCAAAATACTCCCTTTTTGGGAAACAGTGTTAAAGCAGATCAAACCATTTAACAACTTAGAAATTCTACCCATACCTGAACACTTATTTTGGAACAGATAGGCAGTTCATGGCTCTGCTCCCACGATGGTAGAGAGGGTCTCCATAATGCTTTTTGCAGCCAAAACTGTCAGTGCCACTCATTGGGAAACGACAATGGCACCCACTCTTTCACAATGGCATACAAAGCTGTGGGATTTATACGTTATGGCAAAACTCTCGGATAATCTTACGCACTTTGACAAAATTCCTGCTCCTACCTCTTTTGTCTCAACTTGGTTTCCTATTTTAGAATACCTATTGCAACATACTGACACCCCTAAGATGATTGATGACCTGAGATTATGGTAAAATAAATGTCTCTACTCTAGACTGATGTGGAAGTTTGCAGCTAACACATACGATCAACTCAATTTGGAGTTGAAGCACCACTTGATGAAACTGTCTCTTTATCAATCTCTTATTTAACTATGTTTACGTTGTTTCTTTCTAGATGCTATTCGAACACCATTTTGCCCTCTTGTTAGCCGCCCTGAGCCCGCTTGCAGGGAGGGCGGGATAAAAACACCTAAATAAATAAATAAATAAATAAAATTTGTTAAACGTTGATTATATATGAAATTTTCTATGCACTTATAGTTGATGTTTTCATACACTTGTGTATTTTCATAAACATTCAATAAAATATATGGGGGGGAAAGAAAGAAAAGAAAAGAGACAAACAGAAATGGGTTGCCATTGTCTGCCTCGTGCTTGCTTGGTGGTCTCTCATCCAAGCACCAAACCAGGGCTGATCCTGCTTAGTTTCCCAGATCTGATCAGATCAGGGGAAGTTAGATATTTACGGATGGCAGCACTTCTACTCCACATTTCCAACTACCTGAACCCCCCTCTTGCAAAGTCAAGCTGTTTGGGAAGTCTGAACCTTCCTATTTCTGCCTCCTGGGTTTTTTTTTTCCTTATCAGGTAGTGATGTTCACATAAGTGCATAATTGTCCCTGGCATTGTCAATCACCTCAACCAAGTAGTCATTCTGGATCGGGAGTCCCTGGGGGAGTTGTTTTTGAGTGACAGATCCCCCCCAAACCTCTCTCTCCTGTTTCTGCATCAGATGGTGAGAGCATCCCATGATTGACACAAGGGTAAATGCACCGAAGCCAATGGGACTACTCTTGTGTAAACCTGCAAAAAAAAAACTTTATTCCATGGAGGAGAGGGAAGGGGAAGGAGGCTGAGAGGGGCTGGAGTACTCGGCAGAGAGATTGTGGAGCTTTCAAAAAGCAGCCAGGGCTTCGGATACATGCTTATGCCCATGAGTGAAGGACAAAAAGAAAGAATGCCGCAGCAATCTGAACAATGGACCATGGTTCAGGGTGGGATGTCTAACCAAAACTTCCTGCAAGTATTTAAACTGCCACAAACAGAGGCTCAGCCAGATCATGCCAAGCCTCCAGTGTGACCACAGCCTATAAGCTACAAAAACTGTTGACTCCCTGCCAAAGTGGACTGAATGGCTTTGGGTCAGCTGAGCTAGTGGAGCCTCAACTAGATCAGTAGTTGAAGGGCTCTCAATGTGCATTATAATCTTGCCAAGTCCACAAATGTAATACTATGTGGTCAACTATGCTATTCAGCGTCGTTTGGGAAAGCGGGCTTTGATTGTCTCAGTTATTCAACTGGAGTAATAAGAAAAACCCTGATAATAAGAAGTTCCCTGATAAATAAGGGCATTGTGCTTTATTAACAGACCATTTCCTTCACAAGCAACCTAAATTTCTTTCTAATTTTGCAAGTTTTTTAAAAAAATTAAAGCATAGGGAGTAGTGAAGATTGGGGGGGGGGGGTTGTGGGGAAAATGGGATGTCTGAAAGACTAACCTCCCTGAAATGAGATCATTGGAACAGGATGACCCGGTTTGTCTAGTCATTTGGTATACCTTGCAGTTAAAGAATGAGCCTTCTGCATGTTCTGCCTTTCTGGAATTGGCTTACTTAGACAAATTTGTAGGCATTAAGGGCTGTCTGGAATTAGTTCCAAGATCATCCCTCTTCCCACCTTCTAACATTTTGCAGCTGAGGTGAAAGCCTTGTGAACAGGAAACTCTGAAGCAAAACATTACCAAATATGTCTACTCTTCTGCTTGTATCTTTTTTATTTCCACAGGAAAAGCCACCAGACACTGGTGATGACAGACAGGCCAATGAAAATGCAGCAGAAGTTATCGTCACCAAGAAAGAGGAGAGAGAAAACCTGCGGAGGACTGTTTTCACAAAGAGGAAGCCATTGTAGGTATCAGATTAACTTGCGTAAACGGGACCGTGTCAGCTAAAACAGTAAAAGCAGCTCTGTTTGAAAAGCGTGACCTCCCTTGGGTTGTTCCTTGAATTTTCTGACAAGGTTTTTTCTCTCTGTCTCTCCTTTTTTAATCCTCCTTTTTTTCATCTTAGCTGCTTCTAACAGTTCGGTACATGATCTATGAGTGCTGCATTGTCTGATTAAGGTGGCACAGATGGTTTCTTTTCAGGACTGTGGGCAGCTTTTCCTTTCCTACTCTCTACAGCTTACATGTACCACTAGATACATAAGATTAATTTTTAAACTTCTGCTGCTTCCAGCTTAAGTAAATTTAACTATCATTGACTCAATACAAGCAGCTCTTACAACTGATGTATTCTGAAAGTGCTGAGATTGCTCTCTTCGAGATCATTGTCCCAAAGCTATCTCCTCCCATTCCCAATTCTTCTAATTAAGGACTGGATCCAAAGGACTATTGATAGAGCTCCTCTCATCTTCTGACTGCAGCCCTGTCCCATGCACCACCAAAAAATTGCTCCTGGAGGTCAGAGGAACCTTGAGAACAGAATGAGTTGCAGTGTGAGTAGAATACTCTCCAAAAGGCATAGATCCCTCTTTATGCAAGATAAGGCAGCATTTACAAGTGATGACCTTATTTCTATTTTTTTTAATTTACTTCATTTATACCCTGCCTTTTCCACCAAGGGGACCAAAAGTGGTTTACAGCATTCTCTCCTTTTTATTCTCACAACATCCCTGTGAGGTAGGTTAGGCTGAGAGCGTGTGACTGGCCCAAGGTCACCCATCAGGCTTCCACAGGGATTCAAACTTAGATATCCCAGATCTTACTCTGACACTCTGACCACTACACCACACCTTGCCCAAGGTCAGGACCCTGGCTTCTCCCTATTTTCAAACTTGGTATTCTACTTACAGATGTCCTGAGCCGTGAAATGGGCAAATGGGGATGGTCACAGGATTCTGCATACCATTCCTCATAGGAATGCTTGGAAAATGTGTATTTTGAAATGGTGCTCGACTTTTATAAGCTCCTAAGACCTTGCAGTTAATAATGGCTGCACATATACAGCATGTCCATTGTGCTTCAGAACACTCGTTGTAGAGTGCACTAAGAAGTGGCAAGCCCACAGATGCCCATATTTAGACTTAGACTGAAGGAACAAAAGGGTCTTGCCACCTTCTCCCCCCTCCCCCATCCTGAACCCTGAGGTGTCGAAGTTCAAAGAACCTCTGGGGACAACACAGCCTCATGGGTGTAATTCCTCTACTCCTCACTGTGCAAACTGAACAAAGGAATGCTGCATGGGAAAAACTATTTATGTATGTCCATATGAGTACATCAAGTAAATAGTTTAAGAGAGAAAAAAATCAGAATCCCCTCAGGTACAGGTTTTATTGCTGTTTGTCAGTATGGGAGCAGGGGGACAAGATCCAGCTATGCTAGTCCATTCCTATCCATTGTGGTTTTGTGTACAGCCACTTTTTAATGTAGCCTTCTCATTTCTGTTTAGAAATTACTTGAGTCAAAGGAGAGAAATAAGCAAGGGGGGGTTAAGTTCAGGGTGTTCTTTTTAGCCCGGCTTTGATGCTTTATTCTGGAACCCGTCCAAGTAAAGCTTTGATTAAAAATAGCTAGAGCTAAATATTTACCTCTCTCTATTAGACGAAACTCAGTATCAGCCTTCTGACCGTGTAAATCCCGGGATTTACCAGTATTTGTCAGCTGTGAAATCTTCCAGAAGTTCAATCTGATGAATGCTCAAATGAATGAATGGTGCCTACGGAGGCGGCTTCCACGTTTCAAGGATCCTCCACATTGTTTTCATTGCTGCTGCAAAGGTGCATTAGGGGTAGAGCTTCCACATGTGGGAGTTTTCTGCACGCTTTCCGCTGTCATTATTTCCCAGCTTCCCTTCTACACGTGCAGTGTAGCAACCCCCCACTGACTTTCAGGAACATGGTCGTTATGACTGCCATGATGAGTCATTGCCCCCTTTTTTGTTCTCTTCTGCACACATTATAACAATTCTGTTAAGATTTTAAATAAATAAATGAAGGTCCGTTTGTGATGGGCCACTTGGGAACGAATGACACGGCCATGAACACCATCACAACAGCATTAAGGCTGACTATGAAGTTCTTGGGAGAAGGCGAAGGGAATGGGAACATAGATGGTATCCTCTTCAGTTTTCCCTGTCAGAGGAAGAGGATTGCCATGGTAACAGAAAATAATGGAGGTGAGCCACTGGCTGAATTGGTGGTGCCGAGAGGAGCAATTTGATTTCTGGGACCACGGGCTAGGTTTTCTGGAAGACGGCCTGGTAGCACATAATGGATTTCACCTAACAGGGATGGGGAAGAATGTGTTTGGCAGGAACCTGGGGAGATTCATCTGGGGGAAATCATCATTTTATACTGACACCACAAAGAAAAGGATAAGAACAACACAGGGATTTCAATGAAGTAGAGCAAATAGCAGAGGCCCACCTGGGATGGAGAAAGTGGGTGACAAACCATGGGAAAGTATAAGGTTGGGATTAAGGGAAGGAAGGACAAACAGTATTGAGGTTAGAGTATGCCCCCTACAGACTGCCTGACCAGGGTGAGGAGGTGAATACTGTCCTCTTTGAGCAGCTTGACACTGTATCCAAGTAATATGTCCTTATGGATGACTTCAACTTCCCTAATGTGCTCTGGGAACTGGGAGACAAGCTCTGCTAAGAGACCAGAGTCGTGCAACTTCCCGACCTGCCTAGCCAACAACCTTTTTTTTTTTTCAAATGGTGGAGGAAGCTACAAGGGGCTTGGCCATATTTTACTTAATATTAACCAACAGGCAAGAGATGGTAGATGAGATGAAGGTGGTGGGGACCTTAGGAGGAAGTGACCATGTCCCCCTAGAGTTCCTTTTGCTGTGGGGGGCCAAGGAAGTTCATAGCCAGATATATATGGTGGATTTTAGTAGACTTTAATGAACTCAGAGGCATATGCTGGGCAAGAATGATGGAAGGGAAAAGAGCAAGTGAAGGGTGGGCTGTCCTTTAAAAAGTGCTCTTGCAAGCTCAAGCCATCACTATTCCAACAAGACGTAAACATGGTAGGGGATCTAAGAGGCCAATGGAGCAGAGAACTCCATGATGGACTAGGCAAGAAAAAGAAAATGTTCAAGTCATGGAGAGAAGGACATACCTCTAAAGAAGAGTATCTGAGGGTTCCTGGGCACTGTAGGTTAGCCATCAGAGAGGCCAAAGCTCAAAGTAATCAGGGACCTGAGTTCGGCCAAGGAGGGAGACATGTATGGGGAGACATGGCTTTTGAGTTAATTCAGAACATATTCCCTTATAGCAGAAAGACTGAAATGCACCAGAAGCCTACATATGCAGCAGGAGCCTACATATGTGATACTATGCTGTAGACAGTCATAGAGCAGAATCTAGAGAGTTCTTGCATGAGCTAAGGACATGCCAGTCAGATAAGGGAAGTGCTCAGATTTTAATCCATTTCCCTTAACTTGCTTCAGCCTTCCTTTCACATCACACACCATTATGTAGGTCCTACAACCCTAAGTATTTATTGTGCGTATTCTGTTATTCGGTTTTTATTATGTAAATCTGCACTCAGCAGATTATTATAGGTCGGAACCCACCATGAGCCTGCTTTGCAGGGAGGGCGAGATATAAACTGAAGGAAATAAATAAATAAATAGGACAGTGTCAGCAGTGGCAAAGATGGGGACATTCCATGATGTGAGCAGAACCCTCACTGCTGTCCTTTCCGCTCCACTGCTTGGGAATAAAATGGGGTAGAGCCTAACCCCTAGCCCCTTGGAGAAAGACATTTCTGCCAACAGAAAGAAGTCCATTTTTAACAATAGAAGAAGAAGAGAAGAGATTGGATTTATACCCCGCCCTTCACTTGGAGTCTCAGAGCGGCTTACAAACTCCTTTCCCTTCCCCTCCCCACAACAGACACCCTGTGAGGTGGGTGGGGCTGAGAGAACTCTGACACAAACTGCTCTTTTTCGAGGACAGCTGTGCCAGAGCTTGTGACTGACCCAAGGTCACATCAGCAGGTGCAAGAGGAGGAGTGGGGAATCAAACCCGGTTCTCCCAGATTAGAGTCCGCACACTTAACCACTACACCAAACAATACCTCTTTCCACCAGCAGACCTCATATTGCCCCATATTTCCACACTGTTCTTGGGGATCCACCAACTCCTAGGGGCATAGTTTTGAGTGCAAAGCAGGCTGCAGCAAGAGGGAAGGGAATGGTTTGCTAATGCAAGCACATTCCAGCCCCACTATATAAGACCCACTGCCATTATCTCTTGAGGTCCTGTGTCTGCCCATTTATGCATGGAAGAGAGAGTATGTATTGTGAAGGAAACATTGAAGCAACATTGTCTGGTGACTGGAGTACAAACGTGAGCCATTTTTAGTAGTAAACTGGTAAATGACACAGTTGCTTTAGCAAAGGATCTGTGTTTTGCTCTAGATATTGGGAGGGGCCCTGCTGAGCAAAAACATTAAAAGGAAGAAAATGTCTGTCCTTTCTTTCTTCTTTTAATTTTCGAAGTTCAGCTTGTCCTGCCATTTAAATCCCTCACATAATTGTGCGACTGACTCATCTTATTGCCACCCATAGCAACTGCTGCTTTCTTCTAAGTTGAGTTATTTAGCCTGACCCTTAGCAAACTGTTATGCCTACTGAGCTAAGGGGAAAATTTTAGCTGACAGTTTTCTCTGCTTTTGGAACTAAGTTCTGGTAATGCTTCTGACCATGTCACTGCCCCCATATTCACACCTTCTATGTGTCACACTTTCTCTTCCACTGTTGGGCTCCTGTGACTGCTTTGGGGGAGCCACTGTGCATGTTTGGTTCTTGAACTTGGTTTTCTTGGATGCCTCTCTCCACATCCATTTCCCACTCTAGACTCATAATATTTTTCAGACTCTGAACAATGGATTA